TTTTTTTTTTTTTTTTGGGATGGATTTCTACATTTTAAGATTGAAAAGGTGGTTCTGGTAAAACATAAAAGGAATAAAGGCAAAAGATTTTGATGAAAGCAAATTTCAAATACCAAAAATAAAAAAATCTGTCTAAAATCTTTGTTTTTATAAAAATCAGTCCTTGTGACAGTTGAAGAAACACCCACATACGGATAATGTGTTTTGATAAATCCTAAGCTGACCAAACTTCCTCTCGATGAAGCCTAGACCACAAACACAGACCTTTCAAAAGTCAGAATGGGAGTTAAAAGGAAAATATGGTCATCTTTATTTGCCTGCTGAAAACCGGGAGCTCCTTTACAATCAGTCAAAACTCCCACTTTTTTTCGGCTCTGGGACAGCCTCAGGATTTCTGCTAAGTACACAGTGTTTATATTACAGGCTCGGCCCGGCACAGCTGAATATGGCTGAAAGAAATATTTGAGCGTGTGTAATGATCTGTATGCGGTGTTTGAATACATGCGAGGCGTGCTTTCAGTGGAGCTGTTGGTGGTCCTCTCTAATGATGTCAAGAAAGCGTGGAAATGAACATTATTTGAAACCATACCAGGAGTCCCTGGCAAAGTGGAGAGCCCGGTGCGGGTCAGTACCTGTGTTGCCTGCACTCGGGGACCGGTGGGTCACTCCAGGGGACATGTTGTTCCTCTGGAGGGAGGGGTGGGCCAGTGGCAGCATGTTGGGGTTGCCCAGAGACGCTCCCGGGTGGCTGTAGATCAGGCTGTTGGGGTTGCTCACAGGGATTGAGACGGGCATGTCATAATTAGACTGAGGGATGGCCTATAAAACAAAAGGCATGGAAATCAATCATCATTAAATTATTGAAAAATATATAAATATAGTATGTAAATGGAAAAGAAAAATCTTGGATGTAGTGTATTATCAGCCAGTTCAATTAATCTGCTAATAATGGACTATTTTGAGATTTCCAACTTGGTTCAACCACCGGTTTGACATCTGAAAAGTTGACGACACTTACACACAGTCTCTGCCTGCTGATCATCAGGTCAATGTCCTCGTTGATTTTACGATATTTGTCCTCAGATTCTGGACTGTGGCCTGAATCTTCAGCATCAATATCAGTACTGTCACAGCCGTTTAGACCCTTCTTCCTCAGAGTCTGAAACAAATACACAAAACTATTTAAATATTGTAAAAAAATACTTAAAAAAAAAAAATATATATATTTCTATAGATTACACCCAAGACAGATCGAGACAGAAACTTGTTCACAGATGAAAAAGGAAAAGGCATTTTCTGGGTTTAAATGAAATATAAGAGTACAAAAATGCAATAAAAATAAATCAATCAATCTAAACAAAAAATAAAGCATTACAATTTTTTAAAAAGATATATAAATACAGTGTGTGTGTGTGTTTATTCTTTATAATGTAGAATAGCACAGGAAATTTAAACAAAAAAGTGTCAAAAATCACACACACACACTTATATAGCTCTATCAACAGTATCTGTTGCTTAATATATAAATATATCATATATTTTTTCTACATTTATTTTCTGTATTAATCGACAACATGCCACAGATGCTGATAAATGACAGATGAAAAAGGAAAAGACATTTTCTGGGTTTAAATGAAATCCAATAATATGAAAATGCAATAAAAATAAATACATCTAAACAAAAAATAACGAATTAAACAATAAAAATAAAGCATTAAAAACACAAAATGATTTTCCGTAGTAACTGACAACATGCCACAGATGCTGTTAAATGAGCTCATCTTGTATTCAACCACAAATATCCCTTTAGGACTGGAGCAGTTTTCTGTTTGACCACACGAGGGCTATATTAGAAAACAAATAAAGCTTTTCCTGCCTGTGAAACCTGAGCCTTTGATTCCTCAGAAGAGCCTAATCCTTTCATCTGAAGCCTTTGAGAGTCTAGGTTGACTTAAAACGGAATAAAAAGGTACATTATTCGCTCTGCTGTCATTAGCGGAGCTACTATGCAAAACAACACTATTACTATTATTCAAACTAAAAGCTCAAAGTTTGATCTTACGTTTTTAATGGCCATGTCAGAATAATAAACCTTTTTGTGTACTGTACTGTCCATGTTTTTGTGAGTTAAAGGTAAAAGCTGATCTAAAGTGAAATACAGTAATGCAGCTTGGCTTTTTCTTTCTGCCTGATCTCAGCGTTTCGCTCGTCGGCAAGCAGCCACATCGCTGGACCACAGCAATTCCACTCATTCAAGACATCTCCACCTGTCAGGGCCCTTGCACCTGTCCAACAAATCTCCTCGGCTCAAGGGGAAGGGGCGGAGCCGGGGCCACAGCCAATCACGGCCTCGAACCCCAGGGATGGCCGTAGAAGGCTATTTTTTGTCCCAGTGCCACCCAGCAGCGTCCCAGCAACCCTACACCAGCCATCCCCCCAATCACACCGCCAGCTCACAGTCCGACCCGGCTCGGTGCTTTTAGCAACACGGCTGGATCCCAAAGCCTGACATCAGCAGACTAAACACGGACCGCTCCAGACCAACAGGGGGAGGGTCGTGCTCAGCCGAGCATTCCTGTTCAGTTCATCACACACCAAAGACAGGACAACGACGAGAGCGTGACACAACTTTAAGATGACAGCGAGATTAAATGAAAAGTGAAGGCCTTTGCTTATAAATGATAGCTCACCCAGAAAATCATATCCTGTCATTTAATCACCTTCATGTCACAAAAGAAGACTTAAGAACCAAAAAGCATTGGTCACCATTGGCTTTCATTCTATGGAACAGCATTGTTTTAGTAATATTTATATACTATTATGATTTTTATTCATATTTTCGATTGTTTAATTTTTAGTCATTTTGTCACAAGCTTTTAACATCATTCATGTCACAAAAGAATATATTTTTAAGAACTAAAAAACATTGGTCATCATTGACTTTCATTGTATGAAACAGTGTTGTTTTTGTATTATTTATATACTATTATATTTTCATATTGTTTTAGATTGTTAAATTTTTTTAGTAATTATTTCAGTTTAGTTCAATTTTAGTTTTTATTTATTTCCAGTTAGATTTGTTTTCTTCAACTTATTTCCAAAATTATTTCAGTTAGTTTTAGTTAATTTCTGATTTTTATTTACAGTAGTTTAGGTTTTTATTACATTTTATTGCAATTATATTTTATTTTATTGTATTGTATTTCATCTTTATTTCAATTAACAAACCTTTTTTAAATAATCTCCTGGTACAGACAAAAAAAAAACTTATTTTGTGTTCTGCAGATTAAAAAAAAAGTAAAACAGGTTTGAAATGGCAGGGTATTATAACTGTAATTTTATTAATGAACTAATCCCTTGAAGTCAGATTTTTCACCTTGGAAAAGGAATTTCTCAAATCCTCTCAAAAAGATCTCCACACAACGTCTCAAAATATGCTCATATTTTTACAAATAAATCCGAGATCTCAGTATGAACTCAAACATTTCTCACAAAACAATTTCTCCCAAGACCAAATATTCTGGCATATGCTATCGAGATTCATTTTATAGCTCAATATTCTCTTGATTGAACTTGAACTCTTGATTCATGTATGCATATTTTAACTTCTAAAAACTACTTTAGGACAAACATCCAAGACAAAGTTCATTCTTAGATCCAAAACAGTCTACATGAGTATATGAACCAAAACGCATAAGTTTTGTTGTGCCACAAAAACAACAAGTGAGACTCCAGTTGCATTTCATTGTGTTCCATTGCCAGCTGTCGTATAAATATCTAATTTTCTCCAAAGGACTTGTAGGAAAACCATATGAGAGCTGATTGATTCTTAGACCAAAAATTAGCCTATGTGAAGATGCGAATGCAAATGTTTCTGGCCTTAAATAAAATGTCTGAAAACACCTGCGCTATGAGAGAGAGACCTCTGAACACTTTTTACAATGCATTGGCCACCTATAAAAAGTTTCTTGCATTACTTTGCAACAAGTTTTTAAAAAATGCATTCAGCTATGACTAAAGTTGAAGTGAGCTGTCGTGAGGGTGGAGAGGAGAAGAAAGGAGAGGAGAGAGACAGCCATCAGCGCCTCCTTCTGCTCCTAGTCTTGTCTACTCTATGGAGACTTGCTCCTAATTAAACCAGCGCTGCATCGCTCTCCCACATGACAAAGACAGCCCCAGCATGTCCGCATGTAGACATGGCGTCCTATATAGCATGCTAGCCTGTAACCTTCAGCGGAGAAATGATGTTGTGCGTGCAGTAGCAGGTGGTACCATGTGGAGACAGCTGACTGATGCCGCTTGCTGGCCAGCAGCTGACAGACTGACTGACTGAACTGAGGGCGTCACGTCACCTTGTACCCTCCTCTGAGGTCCACATGGGTGGTCTCGCCTCACCTCAAACCAGGCTCAAGGACAAAGTCTGAGAAACTGCATTCAAACGGCACACACACCAACCCAGAGGAAAATTATATTACTCATAGTTTGCTCAATCATCGCTCGGGAGACTTCATGGAGTTCTCATTCAGATTTCCTTTAAATCTCAACTTTTTGTTGCTGAGGTTTCTCCTCAAAACAATGGAGACAATTGTTGATTTACAGCATGTTTATATTGCTTATTGTTCTTTTTCTTAGCTCAAGAGACTTAATGGAGTTCTTATTTTTATTTAAGGATCAATGCTGTCTCAGATGTTTCTCATAAAATGGATACATAAAAGGATATATAAAAATATATATTTTTAAATGAGACAACTGACATATATTTGGAACGTATTGCTCAGAGTTTGCTCCTTCATAACTCATAATTCTCAGTTATGTTTCATTTAAGTATCAACTTCAACTCAGGTGTTTCTCCTCAAATGCAGGGATTAAAGTTCCGTCGCTACGACGGATTTCCGTCAGTTCATAAAGACAGTCACTTGCTTCATTCCTGAATGATTCAGCCATTCGAACGAATCAATTGAATGAATGATTCAGTCATAAATTCAGTGACTTGCCGCTACCTGCTAGCAGATTTAGTTTCATTTTTAGCATATAATTTCAGTTATTTAAATCATATTTCTGTATTCAAAATTTTATATTTAAAATATGAATCTCCACATGAATTTATTAATTTAATTGCACTCATGCCACTTCTGAGCCTCATTAAACGTCTGAAAATGTACCTACAAGCCCCTTTTGTGTCCTTCTGTGCCACCTCTGTAGTATAAATTAATTTATTAATACTAATTTCATATGATTGGTAACTTATTTGTCTTATTCTACTTCTTATTATATTGCAGGGGTTAAAGCAAAAAAAAAAAAATTTTGACTGAAAAATTTTCTTCGACCAAACCCCATTCCTCAGCCATACCTGTCACACACCCAGTTTAAGAGCACTTTTTTTCTTCTTGTAATTAGGAGTGCTTGTCCTCCTAATTAAAAAATTTAGGAGCACGTTCTGATCAATAATAAAAAATTTGCCTTCCTAATACGAGGTGACATTTGACTCCTTAAAGTGACTTACAGGAGTATTTTCTTTTTACCTTTGTAATGGCATAATTTTCATCTATGTCAAATTCAAAAATGTATGTTTACAATCTTTTTAAAATTTCTATTTAAAACAATATGTAGAATAAGACAAATAAGTTACCAATCAAATGAAATTAGTATTAATAAATTAATTTGTACTACAGAGGTGGCACAGAAGAACACAAAAGTGGCTTGTAGGTACATTTTCAGACATTCAATGAGGCTCAGAGGTGGCATGAGTGCATTTAAATTCATAGATTCATGTGGATATTAATGTTTTAAATAAAACTACAGAGGTGGCACAGAAGAACACAAAAGTGGCTTGTAGGTACATTTTCAGATGTTTAATGAGGCTCAGAAGTGGCATGAGTGCAATTAAATTCATAAATTCATGTGGAGATTAATGTTTTAAATAAAATGTTGAATACAGAAATATGATTCAAATAACTGAAATTATACGCTAAAAATGAAACTAAATCCGCCAGCAGGTGGCGGCAAGTCACTGATTTTATCACTGAATCATTCATTCAATTGATTCGTTCGAATGGCTGAATCATTCAGGAATGGTCTTTATGAACTGACGGAAATCCGTCGTAGCGACAGAACTTTAATCCCTGTGTCTAACAATCGAAACATTAAAGATATGTCTTTCCTTTAAGGAACATGCACACACGCCAAGGTGGCACTGCATTTTGCCCATCAACAGCAACACAGACCACATCCAAGCCACCCAAAAAAGCAATCAAACTGAGAGCATGTGACCACAAAAAGGCAGCTCGGTTGAAGGAAATGTCGCCTTATTGTCTCACGTGTCAGTAGGGATGTTCGACTAAGAATTTCTTCCACCTCTTCAGACGTGCATGTGTGCGTGTGTCATGTTTGCCTGTGTGGAAAGTTGTTGATTTATGCAGTGAGTCACAAAAACTGGCAGCACGACACCATGCACAGACAAGTGCAGCAGCTATCGTAACAGAAACGCATGTTGAAGCGAAAAGAAAAGGCACGTTATCAGTTCACAGAAAAAGCACAAATAAGACTCGATTTGTGCTGCCTAAACACTGGTATATCAAGCTCGGTTTATCAAAAGCAGATGGATCGGGGAGCAAAACGAAAGCTGTACTGATTCCGACCATCAAAGAGGCGGAATCCTATTAGAGTCATACGGGTGAGCCAGCGGGGACGCCCCCGTTCCTGCGGCAGATCGCATGGCCAATGCGTGGCACTGTCTGGCCCTCCTCCAGGGCTCTTTCCACCAGCTGCTCCGACCACAGCAGCTGGGCAATATTTGGAAAATGCCACACTGGGGACCTCTGGGTAATTTACCTTCTTTGATGCTCTCAGTACCCTATAATAACGAATCAAAGGCCCTCTATTTTACTGCCACGAGTGCCGCGTGTTTGAGCGCCGCGTGTTTGGTATTAAAAGCACTTGAGAGCGTAATTACGACAGTAACCGGCCCGGTGGATATCCAATCTGACCACGAGGAAGCAGAAGAGTGTCCCGAAACCAAATTGGGCTCGAAAAAAAGCGAACGTCCTGTGCTCCCTGGTGTTCTTGGGGGGTTTGATTGTCAGCTCTCGGAAAACGACACCTCCCGACTTCTTTGCAGCTGACGTGAGGCAAGAATTCCTCACCAGAATCATTCCCTGGGTCAAGCAGGTCCACGTTTATGAATTTGAATGAATTCCCTCTGGGGCCTTCCTGTAAATAATCGCACATTATCACACACAAGCATGTCATCTCTTTACATTTGTTGTCATGTGACCTCTCAGAAGCCTTGTTTTTCCATTGCAGCATCTATAGAGGATAGTATGCTTATTCATGTTCAATTATTACTGATCAAGTTCTTTTGAACACAAAGCCTTTCACTGTAGCCCAATAATGGGCTCTTGTGGACCCCAATCATTCACAGTCACCAGACTGAACTGTATTTGACACGTTGCATGCCACAGTAACGGACGACATTATGCTCTACGATCAGTTGCAACACGAGTGAGAAATAAAGCATTCCTCGCTTGCCGTCAATTAACAGCTTTTGTCTCTGGAACTCCTTATCAAGGGTAGCCCATCTGGAAATGGGCTTCAAAAACGTTATTGTTACCAGCTAACAATTAGCACTCTCAGAACGAATAGAGTCTTGGTAAAAGCGAAGCATTTTGTGCTGTGCTGGCTCGCCACTGGGTCTTGGAAAACCTGACTCACGCAACAAGGTTCAGATTAATCGTGGAATGTAAAACCGCCCTCTGATGTCGTTCAATCGAGGATGAAGAAAACAGCGCAGTAAATACTGCGTTTCAAACTCCAAGCATGAGTGGATCAGAACAGTGATCCAAATGTGGGCTGAGGTCACTGCACGCTCGAATTTCACACCATGTTTTCAAGTTTACATAGCTGAACAGATGGCAGATATGAGCCGACAGAAACAGTCTGCGTGTAGAGGAGCATGCCACAAGAAGTCACGTAATCAAAAGAACTCTTCCTTTCCTCTCTTAAACGTGTGAAAACTGCATCCTAACAAGTTTGATTTAAGCTTTATTGAAGTACGCCGCCGTCTGTGGTCAGTTTTTCTCAGAGGGAAAATGGAGTGGGGGGAAAAAAAACAAGCGTAGCTGTCTTCTCTCTCTCTCTCTCCAGCACTCCATGCCTATTCTTCTCCATTTTCCTTGGCACGACTGCCGGGCCGGAGCTATTTTTAGCTGTGCTGCTTTCTATTTTTAGAAAACTACCGGTTTTCAGGCATTTAATGGGAAAGGACCACATAAAAACACAAAGGGTTGGAACGGGGAGGAGGTCTGGCACACAAGATGGGTGTCTGCTCTTTATTTCCAACGCTATGAGAACTTCAGCTGCTCTCTGCCCAGGACAGAGGACGGAAAAGAGGGGTAAAGAATGTGAAAGACCTCCATCTTATAAATAACCACGAGTCTCAGGCCAAAAGCGCAAAATATAACACGCTGTTACTAAGTGAAGCAGTAAACTCATGTTAACCCGTTTGTAAAAAAGGCGGGGTGAAGGAATGCAAAACAAAGACATCTCTCTTTTGGTGAAATTCCTGAAGGGATGAGAGTGGAACTGATTTCTTTTGGGGAAAAAATACCAAAATTGATTTATTTGTAATCTTAAATATTATTTCCAACGCTATGAGAACTTCAGCTGCTCTCTGCCCAGGACAGAGGACGGAAAAGAGGCAGAGGGGTAAAGAATGTGAAAGACCTCCATCTTATAAATAACCACGAGTCTCAGGCCAAAAGCGCAAAATATAACACGCTGTTACTAAGTGAAGCAGTAAACTCATGTTAACCCGTTTGTGAAAAAGGCGGGGTGAAGGAATGCAAAACAAAGACATCTCTCTTTTGGTGAAATTCCTGAAGGGATGAGAGTGGAACTGATTTCTTTTGGAGAAAAAATACAAAAATTGATTTATTTGTAATCTTAAACACTACACATGCAGATCAGATCAAAAACGGTCTGTAACAGCAAAATGGTCTAGTTCCTGGCATCCTCTTGATGTTGTGACTGCAATGTGACAGTGTTAACACAGAGCAGTATAAACCCAGCAAATCTGATTCACGGATTTAATCTGTCAATCGTCATCAAGGTTCAACAGAAGATCAAGAGCCATCATGTGTGCATGCAACCAGCACCTCCGAATACACAAGGGAACTGTTGCCGCAGCAAACAATCCCATCAAAACACTTCTAAACATAAATCTAGCCAAAGACGTAACAAACTGCACAATGGAATGTGAAGCAATGACTTTAAGGCAAATCTTCTCACATGGAAAACTGTGAGTGAACTGGAAATGGGGAACAAAATGAAGTGCTTAAGAATGCATTGGCATGCAACTACATGAAGACAAATTATCTAAATTAGTGCAATGTGCCTGAAACGGAGCCAGTTTATAAAAGTAGGTTGACGATGTTTTCTTCGTTACATTTGAAATCAGATCGATGTGCCAAGCGCTGGAGGCATGTTTTCTCAGAGGTTTGTGTGGGTGAAATTGGAGGAGGGGAAGGTTGTCACCTCCAATGCCTTCCAGCACAAGACCAAACACAAGAGGTCTACTACCATACGCAGAGAGCTTTGCTCAATCTCATTAGCTGGCCATGTAGTCATTAACAACGCGACCTTTGGAAATAATTAACATTTTCCTTCCTTTGCGCCAACGGTCTTGTTGACAATTCTCAGTAGAGAGGAAATCTAAAGGTGTGGGGTCTGGAAAGCGTGCGTTTTGGGGGGACGACATGGGGTTATAGTCCACGCTGTCAGTTTTTAGGATTAAAAGGAGCATTTTCAGATTACACTAATCGAGGAAATGGGATTATCCCGGCTCCTTACTGGCTTGGCAGGGTGTCCGTGAGATTTGCCTCGTGGAGACTTGATGTTTCTCCTCTCATGAGGCAAGCCATGCTGTTTTCCCTCTCAGCCTCATAAAAAACCCAACTAAGTCTGACCCCAGGGCTTTGCTTGTAATGCATGTCAACGTTGCAAATGGCCTGTCGAACGATGTTACACTAGACTGAACAGTCAAAGTATAATAATAGAGTTTGAATTCGCAGCTTGTTATGTGCAAGTGAAGTGAGTTGCGAAACAATAAACGGCTCATGCTCGAACGCACAAAGATAAAGAGATCCCTCACCACAATTGAGCTCCTAAAAACGCCCCTTTCAGCATCCACACTGTTATTCCTCATCCTTATTGCGTGTTTTTCTGTATCCCTTACTTAGTTAGTAAGAGGAGACAGTTTGTTTGTGTGACACCACCAGGCCTCTACACAAATCAATTGGGTGTTTTTACTGGAAAAGGGACTTTTCTAGGGGAAATATTTTTCCCACTGCTCCCAGTGGGAGCGCCATGGCCTTTCATGCATGTGGGGTGGGAACCTTCAAGTTCTCTCTTCCCAAAGTCAGCCTTGACAGGTGGTTTGGAAGAGCTGAGAGCAGTTTCGCAGTTGCTTTTTGGTCTTTCGGTGGCGATTATAGCAGAAGACGCTGAAGTCTCAGATTAGAGGATGAGGAAACCCTTATCTAAAGCTACCCACGCATGCTCCGTGACCTTTTCAGGAGCTCACATGTCACAAAAGGTGGCGGTGATGAGCAAGCATGATCTTAAGTCTCTGTGCAGACCACCTGGCTTGGACAGTGGCACCTGCCGTGTCCTCTTAAACCGGTTGCGTAATATGGTCCTGACGAGATACGGTAAAGTCCTCGTCCCTGTCCTTTAGCCTGATTCGTTCTTATAGAGCACAACGGCATGTGCCAAACGTGTTTTGCAAAGACTATTACAGCATGTTCCCTAACAAATCACCACCAGACACGGGCCAGGTGTCAAATCCTACTACTCTACCAAAACGAACCCTACCTGATCTCTCGGTGAGGCATCCGATTCAAATTCCCTGAACTTATTTGTCAAAAACATTGTGCTTATTGTCAAAGGGAACTCACCTCCACGATGTCCGAATTAGTCCGACTCTCATGGGGTTCATTGTACTCAGTGTATTTAAGCAGAACTTTGTCCATGTCGGTGCTGGCGTACTGGAACAGTTTATTAGTGCTGTTGAAGATGATGAGGGCGATCTCACAGTCGCACAGAACGCTCAGCTCATAGGCCTTCTTCATTAGTCCAAACTTCCTTTTTGTAAACGTAACCTGATGAACCAAAGAACAAAGGGAGGGTTAAATTGGGATAGATTTGATACCCCTCATTCAATGACATAGACAAAACCTATTACTTGTTGGACAACGACAGCATAAGGTTTTGAATCCTAGGTTGCTGGTTTGTTATCAACCTTGATCACCAGCATTTTAAGTCCTCACCAGGCTTCTTAACTAGCTTATTTACATTTAATTTTTGGCATTTCGCAGATGCTTTTATTCATAGCGACTTCCACTGCATGGTATACAGTTTATCGGTTCATGCATTCCCAGGGAATCAAACCCATGACCTTTCCATTGTTAACGACATGCTCTTCTGCTTGAGCTAAAGGAAGTTCTGTCCAAGAAATGCTCGTAAGATAAATACATAGCTACTACCCACAACTCCATTGCTCTAATTTAGCTAAATTTTCTTGTGAACTGATACAATAAAATATGAACTTTATTGACTTGTTCTTCAAATGCATTTGCAATTCTTTTCATTGTCATTTGCATGACTTCAGTAAAATGCCCCATCAAAATTAAACTTATAGCTAGAGTGTACATGGCCTCATCTGTCCAAAACCAAATTGTTTGACAGGGTATTCTGGTTAGAGAGCTATCAGAGCTCTGTGTGCCATGCTAAATTTAGACTGGGGAGTTCAAGGTGAAATTCTGCCCAGCACACTTCACAAATTGACAGCCCCTGGGTGGCAGGGTTCATAGGATTGCTTTGGCTAATGATGACCCAGCATCACCTAGGCACGCCGGCAGCGTTGCGCACGTTCCATTTGGAAAGGACAATTTCCCAAAGACACCATTTAAACCCTCACAGAACACACTCTCCATCTGTGATGAGATGGCAATGAAATTCAGTGAGAAACAGCCACACAAAACCCGAAGAACTCTCTTGGGCATCTGCCTGAAATATTCAAACTTTGGATTATTAAATTCTGGCATCAAAATGAGATAGAAAGGAAATGTTATTGCTAAGAGTTGGCTTTTAGCTTCGGAGACTTAATGGAGTTCTCAGATAGGTCTCAATAAAGCAGCAGATATTTCTCCAGAGGAAGAATTAATGAATTGAAACAACTGAAAAGACAAATCCCCAAATACAGTAAAAGTGTATTGCTCAGAGGTTGCTCTTTCATAACTCAAGTTTCAATTATGTCTCAGTGAAGTATCAATTTTCACAAATTTTTATCTTAAAATGCAATAAAACAATGGCTGCAAATGGGATGCTGACATGGCGCATAAATGCATTGCTCAGAAGTTTATTTTTCATAACTGGACAGACTTATTGGAATTCTCAATTATGTCTCATTTAAGTATTACGTCTCATTTACCTATATGCTTAGCAAGTTCTATATTTCATCACTTCATGCATTCCTGGGAATCAAACCCATGACTTTGACGTTGCCAGCGCCATGCTTTACAAATTGAGCCAGAGCTATTTGTTAAAATTTCTTAAAAAAACAAATAGACACACATGTAAGAGTATACAGGTAGATTAACAAATGAATACATTTATCACATAGCTCAGATAATTTGGTTAAACTCTACAGGAGACATGTGAGATTACTGCCTTCTTTTCTGAATAGTTTTGAAAAGCAGAATGTTCTCCATTTAATCTAATTCTAAGAGAAATAAAAGACATATTCAAGAGACTTTTCTCTCCTTCAAGAGTGTATACTTCATGCATGCATGTCAATACACAATAAACATGCATGTGAAGCTCTAATCTACATGGTGTTGGTGGTGTTTGTGTGTCGCTGATCCCTGTGCGTGAGTTCGGACGTCATGCTCTCTGTCACAAACAAACTCCAGCAGGGTGATCTTCTCACTCCTACCGCTCAGCACACTGATGCTCTCACCTCCACATGATTTAGATTATGCTCACACTCACACTCACATGCACATGCACCGGGAGCGACAGATGTCTTACACATGCTCACTGAGACGCTCCCACACACATACGGGCAAAAAACCGTTCGCCTTTCGCTCGCTGCGTGTGTTTACTGCCAAGTTCAGCCTGTCTTGATTTACCTTAGATGTCTGAGTCACAAAGACTTTTCTTCTTCTTTTTTTACATTTTCCTACATGCTAAACTGCACTTTGAGGCTGCAGCTAACTTTACACGACCGTGCTTCCCCGTAAAGATGCATGCAAGTTTATTTGACTTGAGTTAAGACATCTCAGACAGAACATCCATGGAGAACTTCACCACCACAACACGGGAAAGGGTGGGCGCTGAGAGGGGGTTAATCGTGCCACTGCACTGGGGGTCAGGAAGCACATTTGAGCGCATTTCCTGTCATAACAGGAAGGGTCCAATGGCTTCCCCTCTACAATGGCTTTGCCTCGGCTTCCGGCCCTATGCTGGTCATTGAACAGCCCCTTAGGCTGAACACTTAACATTTCTTCTAAGTGCAAAACCTCTGTGAAAAATGCACAATAATTTAAAAGGTTCTTGAATGGAGGCTCTTAATTGTACTTTTTTCTAGCTATATATATCTTGAGTTGACCAAAGATCTTGATGTTACGTTATAGATCCTTCAGATTACCTTTTTGTTTTTTGTTTTTGGCGGGGTTTTTTTGTACTTTTATTTAGCAAAGATGCATTAAATTGACCATAGGTGACAAATAAAGACATTTATAATGTTACAAAATATTTATATTTGGAAAAAATGCTCGTTTGAATTTTCTATTCACCAAAGAATCCTAAAAAATGTATCACGTTTCCACAAATATATTCCACAATTTTCAACACTGATAATAAGAAATGTTTCTTGAGCTCAAATTAGCATATTAGAATGATTTCTGAAAGATCATGTGACGCTGAAGAGTGGAGTAATGATGCTGAAAATTCAGTTTTGCATCACAGGAACAAATTACATTTTAAAATATATTACAATAGAAAACAGTTCTTTTAAATTTTAATATTATTTCACAATATTCCTGCTTTTACTGTATTTATGATCAAATAAATGCAGCCTTTGTGAGCATAACAGACTTCTTCCAAAAACATCAACCCCAAATTTTTGAATGGTACTGTAAATGAACGTTTTTATTTTTAGGTCATTAAATTAAACGTTTTAAACTACCATCCAGAAATGACTTTTAAATTCCCATTCAGTTCCTAAATTTGAATTAAGGTACCAAATAGGAGGCAGAATTAAAATTTGAATGTCAGTAGAATTAAAACTGAAATTCAAGGAAATGTATATACTTGTAATTTTGTAAAGGCAAGTTTTGTTAAAAGTTTATAGATCAAAAACTCTAAAACTTCATCACGTGTTAAATTTCTTTGAACTGCAAGTCAGTAAATTCACCTTCCCGTCACTCCAGTTCAAATTCCAACAAGAGTTCAACTGAGTTCATACTGGCTGAAACTTGAAGACGGTGAGTTCAATTCTCATGGATACTTGACGGTTATTAGCTCATTAAGAGCCAGCACTCTGGTGGTATGACCTGCAGCTATCAGCATTAGCAATGAAATTGAAGTTCTCGCTCCAAATCATGATTTCATGTTTGGCCCTGCGCTAGAGTTCCTGCACAACACATGCCCAGATTTATAAACGGTAAATATAAATCTAAAAAAAAGCTGCAGAAACCTAATTTACGAAGTTCTGAATTAAATAAACCATGTAAACCCATGCCACAAAGTCACAACATCAGGTATAACAGGGAAAAGCTGGTTCGATCAGGAAGGTAAGAGGCTGATGTGCTTCATAAGTGTTGTCAGATGTGGCTTTAGATCCTGCCCGTCTAATAGCCCAAGTGAGTAATAGTTTGGAAAACGCTAGTTGTGGTGAATGACACCATGGCTGGTAGAGGCACGGTTTCTTCCCCGTTACAAACCTCAATTATTCAGACTCTCCACATCATATCCTCTAAGGCAGAGGCAATGCATTTAATATCGCAATTAAAAACAGCAATTATGATGATTTAGGACAATCATATTTCACATTCACACACAAACACGCAACACACATGTGCAAAAACCAGACCAAAGTGAGAATCCAGCTTGTGAGTGTCTTGTGACGCTGTCGTCAGAAGCTGCTAGCACTTCCTTAAGTGATGCATACTGTTGGTGTGTGTGTGTGTGTGTGTGTGTGTGAGAGAGAGAGTATGTGCTTAAGACTTATTACATTTCTGTGAAGTGAGCGCCTCATCTCCATTCTTTCCGTTAAGATAAAATCTCTTTTACCTGTCTGTTGCGTTCGTCCATTATCCGCGCAATCTGAATCTTTTTCCTCCCCATTATTTCGGTCTGGTATTCCTTCCTATTCCAAAAGTACTGTACACACTTGTCTTCCTTCCTCTCTCGCTCCGATCCTCAGCGCAGTCTTTCCTCTTTGCTCGTTCCTCTTATTTCAAAGACTCTGGCATTCGTTCCTGAACAGACAAGACAGAGAAAGAGACACAGATTTTATCAGAGAGATGTGTGATATTGCTCATATGCTTGAATGTGGGAAAAACAAGGAGCGTCTTGGTTAACAGCATACAAAATCAGAACTTTTTGGAAATCACAACTGATTTATAAAACCTGTTTAACATAGCAAAAAAAACATCCTTTAAAATATTATTAATGTTTAAATATTTATATATTTAAAGAGAACATTTATAATATTTAAAAACGATGAACTTTAGAAAATACAATTCGTTTTTTAAATTTACATTTTTTTTTACATTTAATTTGACTGATTTTATACTGATTTTATTATTTTTATTTGTACATTTTATTATTTAAATATGGATACGGCAGCAAGTTTTAATCAATCCAGTACATATTACTTTTTTTGAAATATTGCTACCATATTTATTTTAAATAATAATAAAGTGTGAAATATTTAAAATAAAATCTATTTTCATCTATTTATCAATTTTCATCAATTTTTGTGATGTTTATGCTTAAATATAAATTAAATGTATGAATTATATTTTTTTACTTTAATTTCCCTAATTTCCCCCAGGAGATCAAAAGCATTATGACATACAGGTGCATCTCAATAAATTAGATTATTGGTCTTATGAAGTATTCTAATTTGTTGAGATAGTGAATTGGTGGGTTTTTGTTAAATGTGAGCCAAAATCATCACAATTAAAAGAACCAAAGACTTAAACTACTTCAGTCTGTGTGCATTGAATTTATTTAATACACGAGTTTCACAATTTGAGTTGAATTACTGAAATAAATGAACTTTTCCACAACATTCTAATTTATTGAGATGCACCTGTACATGTATGTTATAAATAGGTTTTCATTAGTGATACAGGGTTTGCGTTAACCCTACAAGTTCACACAGATGTCTGTGGTCGTCAGCGGCCCTCAGAGAGCATAAGTACCCAGCTGAAGACCAGAGCTGCCAGCACAAGAGGAAATAAAACTCAAGGGCAACCCACAATGCAAATAAGAGAAAGCAGAGAGCTTTGGGGAGTAGAGGTCAAATGCTCACTCACAACGAGAGACAGGGAAAACACACGGCCTGTACAGAAACCGAAAACCAGCAGCACAGATCTTCAGGGGGCAAGTGCTTCTCTTCACTTAGACATGGCCAACAACTTGGCAATGCATGTGACCTTTTGGTTATGCTTCAAGCCGACTGATAAAAGCCAGAGAGATGTGAAGGATTTATGAAGGAGGGATGGAAAAAGCAGACGATACATCAGAAGAGGAAGTTACAGGAATGTTGTGACAGCTTTTCATTTGAATTTGAAAAGCATACCAAATGATAAAAGCCTCAGCAAGCTCCGCTCGGATAAGAGAGTATGCCAATAAAAATGGAAACTTACAGTAAATTCAAGACAGTGGAGATCAAATGCTGAGTGTCTTTTGGTATGCGCAAAATCTGCATTCAAATCCAACAAAACACTATTTCTTATTGACTTTTATGGATCCCATTATATGTACTCAAGACTCTACAGTACATCTACCTTATCCAACTTAGCTTACAGTGTTATGGACGGTAGACCTTACGTAACTTTAAGCTGTTCAGGACATGTAATCCACTAAACCCGGACTCAAAGAGTTCCCTTTAGCCACTCGGCCGATGATGTCCAGTTCACTCATCTCCAACTAACTGATCAGTCTGGTTATGTGTAGCGGTTTCATTTCAGGATTAGCCGTTCAAGCAGAAGTTATTCAAGGACATCTTGTACATGCTGTGGGGTACATTGTTGTCTTGTTTGATGATAGTCATTTATGCAGTTTAGCAGCTATTTATGAGCACAGAATCAGTCACAATCAAGTATCCAAAATATTTTTAAGTTATGGCCAAAAACCAGATTTGTAAACTACAAGAAAACATCTACAAAATATTATAAATGTGCAGCTGACAAGATGGTAACCATTTAGGAATATAAAAATCAATGTTTTTTTAAATAAAATCCAATTAAAATAATTGTATTAAATAAAAATATATATTTTATTAATTACAATATAAAATAATTATATTATTATTAATTATATAAGTATTATTTATGTAATTATGGCAATATAATAAAATTAATTAAAATAAAATAAATGTAGATCTAATCTACATAACGGCAATAATTAATCATATGGATACCAATATTTATTTTATTTTAGATATTAATATTTATATATTTTGAAAATAAAATAAAATAAAATAAAATAAAATAAAATAAAATAAAATAAAATAGTCCTAACATCCTGCTGCCAACATCGGACCAAAGCCACTGGAAAAAATAGGGAACTGCCAGGTAAATGTACTGAAATTGTGAACAAGCTCTCGGCAAAAACCCCACAGGAACTGGACATGCCGAGGCAAAATGGCTTTTTTGGAGGTCAGAGGTGCCAGTGTGTTTACCCATGTGACGGAAAGATAAAGACGGAGAGAGACAGGCGTGGGAGGAGCCGCTGTGTTACTTGAGGAAGAGGGAGGGCGGCCCGGTGCCAAGAAACCAAGAGCAGGGATCTCCAGAGAGTAATGTGCAACATTAAGTCACTTTGTTAATCTGCCTCTCTGCTTCTCCTGAGGGCAGCAGGAGAGGACAGATATCTCCTCGTCCCGTGAAGAGCGGCATGGTGCCACCGAAATAAAACAGTGCTGAGATAACACCTAGATATGACTGAGACAGTCTCCTGAGGGGCCATTAGACCCAGGACAACATCCAGAGAAGGGCAGAAAGACCTCCTAGCTAGCAGCTAACGCATTGCAAATTAGCTGTGGTAAAAGGGCAACCTGAAGGGGAATGTGTCATTCATGCCCACATAAGTAAATTTTGAACAAATCCTGTGTCTGACTGTGCAGTCAATGAATATGTATTTTTAAAAAATGCCTCAGAGTAGTAGATTAGCAGTTAGCGCAAATGCTAAACACAATTTACATTCATTTCAGAACAACCATGCCCCGTCCTTTCTCGACAACACCTATCAACACGATTTTATCATTTTCTGAAGAAAAAGTGCCAGGCAACTAACTCACTGCCACAATGCTAATGTCTTTTTAGCATGATGCTAAGTGGTTTCTAGAGCATTTTAGGTAAATAATTACCACAACCGATCCTTTACATTTAGAAGTATTTAGAACAGAACAAGAATGAAAAATAAACATGAAACCAACATAAATTATAGTGGAATTAATTATAAATAACATATAAACAACACCAAGCCTAAACAATTTCTATAAGTGAAACTGAACTGATGTGGGAAATGCGCTATACAAATAAACACAGCCTCACATATCTCATTTGGCACAAATGTTTTGCGTGCTTGACATTAATTGCATTATATAAGTCCCAGCATGTTTCACATTAATAAAAAAGCAACTTGTATTCAGAAGAATACTGTATTCTTTTTTGTTTTTAAACATTTCCATTATATTCTTATTCCTAAGTATGGCGTATAAAAATTTTTTTGCTCAGAAATTTCACAAAGAATTACAAAGAATTGGCAAGTAATGCATTGAACTAAACATGCAAATTGGAAATATAAAGACTTAAATTTAAGTATTTTCTTGTTAAACATTCTCTAATAATCCTACCACAAGAGTTATGACTTGTCAGGCAAAAATCATAAGTTGGATCACAAAGAAAGATATTTAAAAGCATTTTGGTAACGATAAATATAAATGTTCCCATTGACTACCATGGGTTCAAAATATATTCTTTAGTGCCCAACAGAAGAAACAAACTAAACTAAACTACAATCTTCCAATATCAGACCAATGCCAATAATTAACCAATATTTTTTAAAAGCAAATATTGGCTATTTTTTTTCTGAAAAAAAAACAAACACAAAAAAACCCTTGAAACCTTGAAAGTGAGAAAATTATGAACTTTTTCATTTTGGGGTGAACTATCCATTTAAGGTTAGGGGATCTCAAAGCGGTAATAAAGACCGCTAATAAAGACCTCAAAAAGGCAGAAATAAACAAAAAGCCATCTATTTCAAGACAGCCTCTGGCATAACTTGGCTAATGTCAGTTAACACAATTGAGATTGGAGCCTGTACAACTTCATAATCACCATCTTTCAGGGCATCTGAAACGCTGAAGACGTGCCAGGCAGCGGAGGAACTTGTCGGAGCACGTCGGAGCAGATCCTCAGAGCTCTTGGCAGACCCCGGAGGTGTCAGACAGCTGACTCTGACTCTCTCTGCAAACAACACCCATCAGCTCGCACAAATGGACATAATGACAGAAAATCTTCGTAGACGGCCTCATAAGGAAGTGACATCACTGAGTAGAAACAATAAAAGATGCCTCTTCCCATAAACCGCTCCACAACACAGAAAATGGGAAGTACCGGCAAATCTCATCGTTCTGAAGGGCCTGATGAGCTTTGCTGAGATAAAAAAAAGTTATACCATCGTTGAGAGGGTCTGATAGCAAGCCGGTTGCCAGGGTGTTCTAAGTGGTATTAAGCCCAGTGGTTGTTAGGGTGTTGTTATGTGGTTGCTAAGGTGTTCTGAGTGGTTTTGTTGCTAGGGTGTTGTTATGCGGTTGCTAAGGTGTTCTGGGTGGGGTTAAGCACAATGCTACAGTATGCGGTTGTTAGGGTGTTGTGATGAGGTTGCTAAGGTGTTTTGAGTGATTTAAATCACAGCGCAACATTATGTAGTTGCTATGGTATTCTGAGTGATTTTGTTGCTAGAGCATTTCTATGCAGTTGCTAAGGTGTTCTGAATGCTGTGGTTGCTAGAGCATTTCTATGATATTGCTAAGCTGTTTTTAGCATATTTACCGCCTAAAAACATAGAAACGTAATGGTAAACAATGGTTTCATTCATGAATGCAGCACAGAACGGTGTTTAATAGTTGAGTTTAGGGGTTTATCCAGGTATAAGCAGCATTACACTGCTAATCAACCTCAACGACCCAGCGGCCTTCAAATACATACTGGAAATGTTCAAGAACATTCGTTCTGCCGGC